CCGGCGGCCGGGGCCGAGGTCCGGCGCCGCGCGTGCTCAGTAGGGCCGCCACACGGCCTCCTCCAGGCGCGCCGCGGGGGCCATGTTGGTGGGCGAGTTGCTGTGGCTGCCCTCAGCCTCCACCACGTCGCTCTGGTTAGGGAGGCTGGGGTTGAGCAGCGCCGAGCCGGTGGAGGCGTTGGTGCAGGGCGGCAGGATGCGCGGGGGCGAGCGCTCGCCGCCCACCATGGAGAACTGGTAGGAGCCGGCCGAGGCCCCGTAGTACAGGTGGTAGGACGGAGAGCTGGCCTGGAAGGGGCCACCCTGCGCCTGCGACGAGCCGGGGTAGGGCGGCGGCAGGTACGTGTGGTAGCGTGTGGCCGAGCTCATGGCAGACATGCCGATGCCGATGCCCGACGTGACTGGCGTTGGGGAGTAGGTGAAGGCACCCGGGTAGTGCATGCGGGGATCAGAGATGGAGGGCAGCGCAGGGAACTGGCGTGGGTCGCCAAAGGCCGCCAGGTCAGGAGCCGCTGTGGAGCAAAGTAGATGTCGTGTGAGTCGGCAGCTGGGAGGCCGTAACCCTGCCCTCTGCCCAGAAAGGAGGGCTACCCAAAATGCCAGTCCCCAAAATAAGGAAAAGACTTCCCAGAATGCTCTTACCCAGGAAGTGAGGGAACTACCCAGAATGTTACTACCCAAGAAGAGGAGAAACTACCCAGAATGCCCTTGCCCAAGAAGTACAAGGACTGAATACTGATAGACGGGAAGATAGTGTGAAAAATATATAGAAATGGCGGACGGTAATACTTACAGGTAAGATATTATGTAATGTGGCATATAGGAAGTGATATAGTATAATAAATATAATGTGGCTATATTCATAGTATAAATAATGCAAATTATAGATTAAAAAATTGGTATAAACCCATGGTGGCAGTTGCAGTCTATTGGCTTATCTGGCTGGTGTCAATTTTTATATGTTCCACTACTTAAAAATGAGTTTTACTTTTTTAAATGGTTGGAGGGGGGAACTAAAAAAAGGTTAGTATATTTTCATGTCAAAATTACAGGAAATTCAAAGTTCATTTTTCAAACATAAGTTGAAACATAATTCCACCTTTATATATTGTGTAGGGCTGCTTATGAGCTACCACTGCAGAACTGCATGATGATGACAGAATTGCAGGGATGGCTAAAGTATTTCTTGGTGCTTTACTGAAAAAATTCTGCCTACCCTCTAAATTAATCAATGTTAATATCAACTAGTATACTGATGATACACCCAGTATATTAATATATCACCATTACTATGTAGTAACTTATATAACACTATATAGCAGTTAATATAATGGATGCATTGATATATTACCAAGAGTATGTTATACATAATATATGTATAATATATGTATAATATATTAATATTGTATAATTACACATAAATGTTGTAAAATAGGATTAATGTGGTAATATATTACATAAATTTAGGTTGAATCTTAGCAAATGCCATTTTTTGTAGTATTTTAATTGTTAAAAGTGGAATTTTCAATTATTCAACATAATATGTGTCTGCTAGTGACAGAGAGTGACTGGTGTGAAGCAGACATGATAAACACCACACCATGGAGCCGAGTGTGAATGGTGATGAATAGCAATATCATCTCTTTCCCAGACCCACCCTCAGCCTGGCTTCTAAATATTTAGAAAAATAGAGCTTTAATTTCATCCAGATTCTTTAATATGTGTTTCTCTGGTTGTTTAACACAAGTGGATATAGGACTTGGATTTTTTTCCATTTTTTAAAATGTTTTGAAGTTTTCCCAGGAATGGCAAAGCTTTGTCTATAAAATTCCCTTTTTTAGCATGTCAAATCTACAGTGTTGCAAACTGGCTTTGGCTGTACTGTAGCTTACTGTCTCCCTCTACATTTTTCTTTCCTTCAGTCTGCCCTAGAGGATTACTATAGAGTGCCAGGACATGTTCCCCATGTCCTGAAGATCACAGTTTATCAAAAGTGGCACTGTTGACATCGCTGGCCAGATTATTTTGTAGGGTGCTTTGGGGCTGTCTTGTGCATTGTATCTGACAATGACTGGCAGAATCTCTGGTCTTTACACACTACATGCCAATAGCAACCCAAAATGCTTCCAGATATTGCCAAATAACGAGTGTGGGGACAAGGGAGGCACAGTTACCCATGGCAGAGAGCCACCACTGTAGATACAGGATGGTTTCCTGAGACGGGCGGGACTATAATTGTTACATTAGCAAGCCAGAAGCAACAAAACAAAGCAGAAGCATGAATTCAGTGTCTAAATTTTTAAGTTCTCAAATCAGCATACAAAGGAACTTTAAGTTTAAAGAGTATGTGCCCTGCATCCTTCTGAGTTCAGGATGATGGAGACACTTGAGGACATCAGAAGGTTGCTTTGAAAGGAGAGCTACCAGAGTGGGTTAATCTGATTTTTCAGAAGGCTTGGGCTGTTGATCAGCTTCCTCATATTTCAAGCCTATTATTCCAGCAGGGAGAGCTAGTGTGTTCTCATTCTCATTCTCATTCTCATTCTCATTCTCATTCTCATTCTCATTCTCATTCTCATTCTCATTCTCATTCTCATTCTCATTCTCATTCTC